AGCACTGTGCCAAGTACTCCATTTACGCGAAAGGTGAAGAACTGGAAGAACCTACCAGCAAAGTAAACCTTGCTGTCAGATGGGCAGCATGAACATGCTAGATGGGGAAATCAACAGTAGAAGGAAGGCGGCATCGACCAGCTTTAACCGTATAAAAACATTATTCGACAGTTAGGTGCCAATGCGGGCGGAAAAAACTGTTCTATTCAACCTTCTATTCGCCATGATCTACGACGCTGAATGTTGATCTGCTACTACAGTCGATGAAAACAACCTGATTGTCACGCAAAGAGCGATGGCGAGAATAATGTGCAAGGTGTCCCTCCGGGATCACGTTCTAAACGCACAAATCTGACAATGGACTGGATTAGAAAACATAATTTGTGCCTTTTACGATACGAGGAAAAGATGAACCAGTGGGCCCATAGCACACCTGAGAGATAACCGGTTGACAGCAAGAATTACCAACTGGGTTTTGCTGAACCAGAAACGTCGAGTCAGTAGTTTAAGAATATGATGAGATGATGTGATGGCCAGCTTACTTGGTCAGATCAGAGGTTGATGCAGAAGCGGAAAACAGGGGATGTTGGAAGAGCTTTGATTTGCATTCATGGCGCAGCTATAACGAGGGCAAATCGAAGAACGACGTGGCTTCATTGTGGTGAGTACGAGAGGGAGGTGGCACGGTAGAACAAATTTGCCTCTAGCTTACCAAGTGCTGACTGGAATCCCAAAAGAGATTCTTGTTTAATAAGTAATTTATCTTCGTTGCTTCGGTGCAACCGATCGTGGAACAAGAAGCAAGTGACTGACAACAAGGACAATGTCCTATTCTGATGTAATCGTATGAGAATGGGCGAGAGATACGACCATGCTCTCTGGCGCGAGCACCTCTTACGGCTGCAATTCGTCTTAACCCACTGATAACCAACTATATAGTACGATTATCAGTGCGTCGACCTTTATTTTATTCTAACGCCTGATTTGTGTGAACAATGTACCAATAAAAGCGTGGCTTCCCAAATGATTAGCTAATAATATTTTGCTCGCAAATACGTACATGGCCATACCTAGAAGCCAAAGCTGTTGGCTCCTTTCCAGCACACATGAGGCAGTTTTATGCAAAGCCCTGAGTATGATATTCTCATCATGAATTTTCATGACAGAGCAACATAGAATAGAGGTCAGACCATAGTTACCGTGGAAACTTTGCATGATCGTGTCATGAAATAAAAGCCAACAATTTGTCTGCTTGACGGCGAACCGGCGCTAATGAAAAGGTCTCAGAAAGCAGCTGTCCCTACCACTGTCAGAAAGAATAACTGAGATTTGAAAATAAGTCAAATAAGGCTTTCAAAAACTCCTGCAAGCTATATTTATGGCAACCTTAATGCCTGTATCCGTACCTTAATCGATGGCGTGATTTAGGTCTGACTGGAACAGTGCTACCAAAGAGTGCCTCCAGCGATCACAATACAGAGATGGCTTTCGACACCACTCAAGTCCAATTAACGAAATGAAACGTATTAATCAGCAATTTTGAGAAGCATTTCGCAGCAACCAAATTATGCATCCACTACAGACCGGAACAAGTCCGATAAACCGACATTTTTTTTTGCGTAAGCGGAAAGACTACGGAAACAGTAGCCGAAAATACCGCCATTTCAGTCTTACATTCATCGGAAAGAAAGAAAGAAATAGCACAGTCACAAAGAAACATACATGTGTCGTTTA